TTGGCATAATGTCCATGCTTTCCACACTTAAAACATGTCACCTCCTCACCACTTTTTCTCGAGTTTTTCTTTTTGCATTTCCCGCACCATTTTTCTTCATCTCCTCTTTTTCTAGACTTCCAGAACATGTTGCTCTTGTCAGACTTTGAAGACCCCTCAAATTTCCTCTTCTTGCCAACTTCAACCTGGTTGGCGATACAACCATTGATCACTTCATCGACTAACTTAGCAACCCTGATAGTTGTCTCAAGAGTAGGTTCGTGGCGTACTGACACAATATGTTCATCCTTACTTCGTTGAAGTAAACGCCTTGTTTCCTCCATCTGATGACCCAACATCATTCGCACCATTGCGTATACTCCCGCCATCGTGATTGGCTCAGGTGTAGCTAATAGCTTTGGTGCACTCCCAATCACGTATGGCTCAGGCTACGGTTTATCGTTTCCCAATCCATTTTGTGTGTTTTCCATTTCGATCTATACACCAAATTAGGTGAATTTAGATCTATATTTCAATAGACGTTCAAATCATCCTTTTCTCTCCAAAACGTTTACATGCTAGTGCTAATACCGTATTCGTACGCTTAGAATCCTAAACACATAAGGTTTCCAGATCCAGTCGGCAACAGACCATAGACCCGAACAAACAATATCATATATGACAAACATGTAACATTTAGCACGTAAAAGCATTTTAGGCATCTTTCCTAAAGCATACTAGTGCTCGTGTCAATTTAGGTGTACTGCCTAAAATATAAAAGACACACTCAACTCACAATCATCGTTTATCATCCTAAGTTTAAGTCTAGAAATTTCCTACAAATTCCTAGTTCGCTTAAACTAATGCTTTGATACCAACTGTGACATCCCCATTTTTACGGCCAGAAAAGACCGATTTGTTTATGCTTTGTTTTATAAAATCAGAGTAATCTTTTAAAGAAAATGGTTGTGGAATTTGTTCCCAAAATAAGATAAGATAATAACTTATCAAAACATTTCTCAAAGAGAACATATTTTCATTTAATAATAAAACCTCGGGATGTCATGTTCCGATACAGACATATAAGCATAAACAGAACTTACATTTAATTACACAATTGATTTATATCTCCTTTAAATCTCTCTGTGAAATATGTCTTCGTATTAATACCTGTGATACAAAGAAAACTGAGTGGGTCAGGCTTGGGAGCCTGGTGAGCATATAGGGTTTTCAACCCACAATAAATAATTATATTTAATTTCCACCAACCAACAATAACCCGATTACTCATTCCCATTATTCTCACCTTACGTCCCTAAGACAACTAACATAAGGAACCTAGTCTAAGAATATTTCATCGGGGCGACAAAACATGCTTCGGGGGTTCCTCAGCAATATAAGTCAAATAAGGCAACCATGAGGGGGATGGAATACAACGAATGAACACCCAAGTTCATTAACACCTACAGCTTATGAGCCTGCTAGCGTTCCACTGGACTGTCTAGAAAATCCGTGGTCGTCATCTAAATTCCGCTAGATGACTGGATTACAATGACATCGAGGCCTCTCATCTGTTTATCACACAACTATCTACCCATTCTCTACCAGACATATTAGTAGATAAATATATATATATATATATATATATATATATATATATATATATATATATTATATACATAGTTTAAAACCTGTATAGCATTCTCATTCAATACATATTCCAAAACAACAGATGAGACACATACACATAACACGTATTTCATAGAGAGTAAATTGTATCTATGAGATAGAAGAAAGTGAATATACATTCACACATATAACACAAAATATACACATAACACGTATTTCGTATAAAATACTTCATAATTATGCGTTAGAAGAAAGTAACCACACACTCACTTGATCAGAAGATGATCGGACAGCACTACGACTTGTAGAAGTAGTATTCTTCGGTAGATCTGGAAGATATTCACAAAAAATCAGCTTCTCGCGGGCAGAGCTTCGGCTCGGGTATCGCACTTCTCGGGATCTTCGGGGCCTCGGGACTTGCTTCGAGGCTCGGGAATGATACCGGGGCTTCGGGATATTTCTTGCACGAAAAACGATGCAAAAACGCGAGAAACGGGAAGAAATGAGCAACTGAATCGGCTGCACTCGACTTCCTATTATAGGGGCTGGATTTGCGATTTACGCGGGGCGTAATTTTTGGTTATGCGGGGCGTAACGGGGATAAGGCCGGTGACTCCCCCCATGGATAATATCAGCCAATTTTTATTTAAATTTAATATCGAAATTATTAAATAAACTTCAAAAATTCATATCTTCTTCATACGAACTCCGTTTTCGACGCTCTTTATATCCCCGCGTAGGTGAGACTACGATATACAACTTTTGTTTAGACTCCGTTGGCTAATTTTGACTTTATTTTTATTATTTATTTTTAGTAGGCCGGGACAGGAAAACTCCGTTATAAAATCATAACTTCTTCATCCGACGTTCGTTTTCGCCTATCTATTTATCGTTTTACTACAATTAATGAGATCTTCAATTCTCATTTAGATTGTTTCGGCTAAAAACCGCTCGATCTCAAATCGAGCATTCGGGCTGCATGCCGCTAAGTCGAAATTTCGAAAATTCATAACTTCCTCATACGAAGTCAGATTTGGGCTTTCTTTTTATGCACGCTCATGGTTTAACATATTCTATGACTTTGATTTAGATTGATAAGGCTAAATATCACTCTAACGTAAATTCACTTTTTACGTCGCGTTGTGTCGTGCCGATTCTGTCGCGAAACTTCGACATGTCATAACTTCTTCGTTATAATTCGGATTTTGGAGTTCTTTATATGCACGGAAACCTTGTAACATATACTATAACTTAATTAAGATTATTCCTTCAAAATAATCTTCCATCAAAAAGTCATTTTTGATGCTTAACGTCTCTAATTGACTAGCCCGGATCTACGGGCGTTACTGCTAGGTTTGGGACACCAAAGGCTATTATTAGTGATCGAGGCATGCATTTCTGCAACCGCACCCTCGAAGCAGTCCTCAAGAATGGTGTCACACATCGGGTATCCACAGTATATCACCCACAAACAAATGGGTAGGTTGAAGCTTCAAACAGACAGATCAAGGGAATTATAGAGAAAAACATCAATCCAGTCAAGAAAGATTGGAGTATTCGATTAGATGATGTGTTATGGGCTCACCGGACAGCATAAAAAACTTCTATTGGTATGTCACCATATAGAATTGTTTTTGTAAAACCTTGTCGATCACCAGTTGAATTGGAGCATCGAGCATATTGGGCTGTCAAAAAGTTGAATATGAGAATGGATGAAGCTGGGAAGAAAAGAAGATTGGATATCTAAGATTTAGAAGAAATTAGGAATGATGCTTATGAGAACGAAGCAATTTATAAGGAGAAAACGAAATCATTTCACGACAAGATGATCTCGCGAAAGGTATTCACGACAGTTCAAAGGGTACTCTTATATAACTCTCGTGTCAAACTTATTTGTGGTAAATTGAGGTCTCATTGGGTGGGGCCTTTTGTTGTTACTAACATGTTTGATCATGGTGCTATAGAAATTAGGAGTGAACAAACAAGAAAGATTTTTAAGGTAATTGGTCACCGTCTCAAACCATTTTACAAAGGGTTTCAAGTTACAAATGAAGAAGTGGAGGTTGTCGCGGTCCCAACTTACCGCAATTGAGGAAACCAAGTAACAATGTCGAGCCAACGACAATAAAAACGGGCAACTTGTCGAGAGGCAACCCGAGAGTTTGTTTTGGTTTTCGTTTTTGCGACTTCTTTTTAATTTTTGTGTGTTTTTAGCTACTTAGGTCGTCTCCTTTTAATTGAATCGTGTTTTTAAAATAAAAAGGAACAGAGAGAATTTGAAAAAATTTGAAAAATACAGTTTTGGTGGAACCTGCGACCACATGCCCAGTCTTTGCGAACGCATGTTATACATTTTGGGGTCGCAGCACGTCATCGAGGATTTTTGGAACACTTTTCAAAAAAAAAAGTCAAACTTGCGATCGCAGGTCCAGTATATGCGATCACATGTATCAAGTTTTAGAGCCTAGAACACTTTTCGACAATTTTAAAAGCGATTGAAGTACATTTAAGCAAACCTGCGATCGTAAGTTCTATACCTACGATCGCATGTATCTCGTTTCTATTCCTGGCTCACATTTGAACATTAAATAATCAATTAAAGGCCATTTTTCCAAATCTACGATAACAAGCTCCCTACCTGCGATTGCATGTATCATTTTCTTATATGTAGACGTTAGCTTGCCTCGGAAAAAGTGCTCAACGGTCAATTTTTTAAAACCTGTGATTGCAGGTTCCCTCCTTGCGGTCACAAGTTGTGTTTTTCCTATAAATACCGATCGCATGCCTCATTTGTAACCACCACACTCAAAAAATTCTCTGTCAAATCCACTACATTTCGAGTTCTTCCACCAATAAACACCCAAATCGCTCGTTTTTCGTCCAACTCAAGCAAATAAGGTATCGATCTCTTCCGTTTTACTCCTACAACATCTTTACGGTAACGAAATCATGTTTTCACGGTTGAAATTCTCCAAAAATCTCATTTTGTTCATTTTGAAATTTGAATTTTTGTGAGTTTCTTTTTCAGATCTACGCTCTGTTAGTAATCCGCAGGCCACGACAAGTAGAAGTGTTTGTCCACGACGCAATTCAGAAGAGATTCATCCGAACGGAATTTCAAAATTCAAAAAAAAATCGGCACAAAAAATATACTGGTGCTCAGCGCACAGTCAGGGATTTTCATTCTGAAACTGAATTTCTATTTTTGTTATATATTTGTGCGGTCGTTTAGGAGTAGTTAGGAACACTTATTTTTGCTTTATTATTATTATTATTATTATTATTATTGTTATTATTATTATTATTATTATTATTATTATTATTATTATTATTATTATTTTCTTTTACCTGGAAATTGTGCCCTCATTGTCCCGCTTTTGACCTGAAAAAAAATGTCCCCTAGACCATCTCGTTCATGCAGACAGGGTGATGCTCCAGAGCCATCATACACTGTCCAGGCGGACAATACCACGGTAGATTTAGGTTCACGGGCCGCACTTGACTGTTACCAGCAGCTTCTCGACCGCGAGATTATGCCACAAGATTGGGCCCCTAGCCGCACACCAATGCGGGAACTCCATATTTATGATGGTGTTCACACTCTTTTCGCCAATATTGGCTGGGAGCGCCTATTATCTCCGGATTTTGCCACTTGTCCCGTACTAACCCGAGAGTTTTTTGCCACACTTAGTGAGATAAATCATGAGGGAAACCTAGATTTTTGCATTTTTAGCACCCCTCATACTATTCATGTGGACCAGTTATGTACTATTTTCCATACCCCCATCACCAGTTTATTCCAGCCCACCCCCGTTTTTTACGTACACGAGTTTTGTTACTCCATCACTGGTTTGCCATCTTATGATTCAGCCTCATCCGTACAGACTAGTATCGTGCACCATGATCTTAAAATTGCATTGAAAATTATATGCAATATCATTTATTCACAGCTTGAGACTACAAAAGCCGACAAAGTCGAGCTTTTTCCTTTGTGGTACATGATCACCGGGTCATACCGTCCACATTTTGGTGATATTATCATCAGACGGTTCCATAGAGTTATAGCCCTTCGCACCGGCGGTGCAATTCGCTATGGTGGTTTGATTTTTGTCATTTCCCGCTCCCTCACACCACAATTTCCACCGGGGGTACACCTTCTTTACAAGTGATTCTTTTCGTCTGACCCTGCAGAACCTTCGGGCTATGCACATGCTTCGTACTGCCCCAGGTGAGTATGTTTGGATGCACGGTCGCTCCACTTATTTCAAGGTCACTGTCCTGATGACATCGCCCTCACTGACCCCATTAGCGACACTGTGTGGATTCTTCAGTCGAACATCCCACCATGTGACATCCCCAAAATCACGGCCCGAAAAGACCGATTTTGTTTATGCTTTATAAAAATCAGAGTACTTCATTTTATAAAAAGGTTGCGGAATTTGTTCCCAGAAAAATATGGTAAATACGTTATTAAAACATTTTCGAAGAAACGTATTTATTTCATTTTAAAACGTTTGGGATGTCATCGTTAATACAGGAACATAAGCATAAACAGAACTTACAATTATTCACACTAGTGGTCTACATCTCTTTAAATCTCTCAGTGTAATGTCACTTCATATCAACACCTGTGATATAAATAAACTGAGTGGGTCAGGTTGGGAAACCTGGTGAGCACATAGGGATTTCAATCCCACAATGTTATACCATATATATAGTTTAAAATTCACAAAATATACAATTTCACCATACATATATATATAAACAACTCTTATCCCACCCCGTCGATCCTCGCAACGAGGCTATCCATACTCTCGGACCTAAGATTAGTCGTTTTACCTACTCCATACTCTCGGATCAGAAATGAACGAATTTACCAAATCCATACTCTCGGACTAGGGACGAATGACTAATCCATACTCTCGGATTAAAGATGAATGATTATGCCTAATCCATACTCTCGGACTAGGGACAATAGCTAATCCATACTCTCGGATTAACGACGAATGATTATGCCTAATCCATATTCTCGGACTAGGGACAATGACTATGTCTAATCCATACTCCCGGATAAGTGACATATACTAACTTCTATTCTCTGAGTTTAACTCACTTGTACTCGTAAGAATATACTACCCAATATTCCTCATATTTAATTTAGGTCTACTCTTTATCCTAAATTATCAAATATAATCAGGTATGTTCTTTAACACGAATTTCAAGCAACATCAATTAACTCGCACATAAACATATAATTAATACTTCAATCAATACTTGTATTAAAATCATGTTCATGAAAGGGACTATGCACTCACCTGAGAAGGTGGTGACTCGGTACTCGGACAGCGCTTCGTTTACTTTAAAATAATTTCCTTCGACGAAACCTAGTATTATCACCAATAGATTTTAGTCTATTATTCGCCGAGACTAATTAATAGTCTAGCTATTATTACTATTATATAAGCGTTAAAAAAATACTTATATAACCCATAATAATAGCCCAAGTATTTATTATATGTTCTTAATAACGTTAATATAATTAAATAAAAACTATATTAAAAATAGCGTAGGCGTAGCTCACTTACAGCGGGTTTTATAGAAAACCAGGCTTTGCTTGGAGCAGCGTTTCCGAGCCGAAAAGCTCTTCTTCTCGGAGCCGTCGAGCACTCCGGGGCTTCCGCCTCGTGCTAGGGAGGTTCCCTAGGCTTTTCGGGGGATTTCGGGGCTAGAGAGAGGTTCTAGAGAGAGAGTAAAGAGAAGAAAGAATGGGAAAGGTGTGAAGAAAATGAGGGTGGGAGAGGTGGTATTTATAGGGTGAAAATGGCTGAACTTGGTGCCACATGTCACCATCTAGTGGCAAGACTTGGGGAGAAAGCAATGGCCAAGATTGTGCCACATCACCCATTTTCGCACAACACACTTCCGACTTCTAAAATCCGTAACTTTCACATACGACCTCCGTTTTTGACGTTCTTTATATCCACGCGTAGGTAAAAATAATATCTACAACTTTCATTTTGACTCCGTCGGCTAATTCTCGACCGATCTTAAATTTAACAGTACGAGGCGTTTAGACTGTTAAATGACCGCGAAGAATTCGTAACTCCTTCATACGGACTCCGTTTTCGTCTGTCTTTTTACCGTTGAGTTCCTATTAATGAGATATTCAACTTTCATTTATTTCACGTAAGCCAAAAACCGCTCGAACTAAAATTCGAGTTTCGGGCTGTACACTGCTAAGCCGAATCTTAGAAAAATCATAACTTCCTCATACGAAGTCAGATTTGGGCGTTCTTTTTATCGACGCTCTTAGTTTAACATATTCTACGACTTTTGTTTAGATTGCTAAGGATAAAAAGTCTTCTATCGTAAATTCACTATTTACGTCTTCCGGTGCCGTGCCGGTTTTGCCGTAAAACTTCGGCGGGCCATAACTTCTTCGTTATAACTCGGATTTCGGCGTTCTTTATATGTACGGAAACCTTGTGACATATTCTAAAACTTGGTTAAGACTATTCATTCTAAATAATCTTTTTTCGAAAAGTCATTTTTGACCCCTATTGCCTCTAAATTGACTAGCCCGGATCTACGGGCGTTACACACCACCTCCTCGCCCACGTAGGGCACAACAGGTCCGGGAGCCACAGTCGTATCGACCATTTTCATCCACTCAAAACCCAGCTTGCACAGACGCCACACCTATTTCCTTTAGATAGCCTGATCATATGTAGTCTGACTTTCAGGATCAGACCCCACTTACTCAGCCATCTTACCCTCACCCCGACTCTCCCTTCACTTACCAGCATTATCTTGACCTCCGTCAAGATATTGCTTCCCTTCAGCAGTCTATGACTAGTCTTCAGCTCTACTATCAGCTATATAGCACTCAGGTTACCGGCTATCGTGTCCAGCTCTTAGGTCTGCGTGACGATTTCACCGACTTCCGCGAGGATTTCTTCCGTCGCTATGCACCCCCTGCAGAGTAGTCTCCTTCCACTCCTCCCTAAGCATTGAGGACAATGCTTAATTTTAAGCTTGAGGAGGGGATTTCCTATCTTTTTGTAAAAAGTTTTTATTTTGTCATTTTTATTATCTAAAAAAAAATTTAATCCGAAAAAAAATAGAAAACATAAAAATCCAAAAAGATTTTTCATTTATATTTATTTTATTTTTCATTTTATTTCTTCGTAGTTTTTTTGTAAATATTTTCGTTTTGTTGTATTCTGCATTCAAAAAAAATTTACGAGATGATGACACTCTTTACATATGATAGCTCCATAAAGTGGGATATTGAGAGTTGAACATGAAAAAAAATCCGAAGCGACTTGATTGTTATTGGTAGTATAGAATCAGGTGTCATAACCAAGAACACCGACCTTAGAATAAAAAAATGGCATACTTAAATGTTTTTTGGGCGGTAATAACAACTTTCAGATGATTTGCTTATTAATGTTTAAAAAGAATCTTTATAGGCAACTCTGAACCCACATAACATGGCCCTATTTGTTGACACGCATTACCCTCGCGGTAACAAAGAGCTTAAGTATCAGATCCGCACAGTCAAAATGCAGAAAGGGTACAAAGTTATATCTAGTACCGAAATCAAAGAATTTCAAGCGCTCAATCGAAGAAACTCAAGAAATTCCAAAGAGAGAGAGAGAGAGAGAGAGAGAGAGAGAGTGAGTATGTGTGTGTGTGAAGAGGGATCATATATTCCTCCATTCTTGAGATCATATGGACGGAGACATCAAGCTCAAAAAGAAGTGTAAATCAAAGTTCAATCAAGTTATAATCCGTTTCAAAGTTACATCTGGCGACTAAAGAACTATGTGATATGATACTTGTGGCTCTTGAAAAAGTGAAAACATAGAGCTCGGGCTCCTACGGGGGTTGGCCCTTGCTGCTTCGGCGAAAGTTGATTTGGTCATGCGGGTTTTTAAGGATGCATCGATTCTTATTCTTGGCCATCTAGTCTTAAGGACATGAGATCCAGACTATGTTATTTTCGCTCATAAAGCTAGTTAAGGTACAAAGTTTAAATAAAACTAGAGTTGGATTATTGGGTTACACCGTTTTGTGGTCTTTCTTACTTTGGGAGTCTGTGATACATGAAAGATAGCAGGATGGTTGCTTTGTTGTTAGTTATTGGAGCCCATTATCGATGTAAAGTTTGATCGTAAAAAGAAAAAAATATAAAAATATTTAAAAGAAGAGCATGTTTCGCTTTAGTTGTTCGTTTCTCATTTGCATATTATTTTAGTTCATTGTTCATTTTCTTTATCTTTACATGTTTATCTTTACATGTATGTTTTATGTTTAGCTTTGGTAGTTCTTATTATTTAGGTTTTCATTTTTTTTTAGTTGACGTTTTTCTAGGTTGTCCTGTTATTGCCTTTAGCCCCAATTCCGTTTCCAAAGTTATCGTTTTCTTACTTGAGGGCAAGAAAGGTCTAAGCTTGGGGAGGTTTGTTAGATGCTTTTCATATGCATCTTTTAGCACAATTTCCTACGTATGTCATTATAAAAAGCTAACTCACTCCTCATTATTCTGATGTATTTCATGTTTCATGATGATTTTGAAGAATGTACGTACTGCTCACGTTTGTTACGAGTTTCAGGGCCATTTGGAGCACATGGATGATTGCGCAAGTTCGGGATGCGTTTGTGGATGCTTTGGAGCTTACTTGGAGTCTAGACCAAGGAGGATGTCTGGAAATGATCAAGAACTGCTTGGAAGGAGGAATGACGTTGATACCATATTAGATTCATTTATTCTTGTGTTTCACTTTGCATTTTTTGACTTCCATAATAACTAGGTTATTCTTCCGGAATGACTAAGTTATTCAAAACCATCCACAGTCGGTCATATGTTGGAAGTAGATATGAATCAACATTGTCATGGGTTGGCTTGTAGAGGTCCAAGTTGGTGGACAAAGTTGTGCTACAACACTCATGAGTGCTCATAAGTACTGAGTAGTGTATTTAACCCGCGCTCATTTCAATCACTTCATGGATTTTATCATGAGTGATCATGAGACAATAATATCTTATATTCTTCAAACCTAGAGATATGAGTTGTTACTATGAGTTGATAGTACATTGATTGCACGAAAACGCATTGGTAACTCGATGTTATAAAACGTGACTTTGTGTATGACTCAACAATTAG